TCAGGCAGGAAAGGTCTCACAGGGCCTGGTCGAGGCTGTTAAGGAGGGGCATTCATAGAGACGGGGACCAGCGTACTGTGATAATGATGCCTAGGCCAGGGGGGACGTGGTGGGTGGGATGGATGATGGGGCTGCAGAGGGTGGAGACAGGTCGGCAAAGGTGCCTTTAAAGGATGCAGCATCCCCCACTTTACTCTGCTGTTGGTGCTCAGCAAGCAACCTGTAGGGTCTGCTTAGAACAGAAAGAACCACGGCCCCGTGGGATTTTAGGAGGGACGGGTTTTCCCAGCCCTGGGTGCCAAAATGACAGAAGGTTCTATGAGGCTGCGATTACATAAGGCTCCCTCCCCCCTTTGCAGCAGCAAGCAGGAAAAGCAGGGCAGAGACGCCCACGGCCACCAAGAAGCACCTAGGTGATGTCAGGTCTCTCCCAGCAGGTGCACGCGCTCTTCCCAGGAGGCCACTGGTCCCCCCACCCCCAGGCTCAAGATATCTTCCTTCACCCTTACTTGGATGGCGCTGTGGCAGATAGCCATGGTGGGGGCACAGGGGACTTCTGAGAGCTCCACTGGTTGTCTTTAGGAAGCCCAAGGGGAAACATGGCTGCTATAGGCATTTGGAGCTGGGTACCTCTTTGCTGCGATGGCCCAGGGCATCATGAGCGTTTAGTAGCACCCCGGCTTCAACCTGCTAGATGCTGGAGTTATCTCTCTCCCTCAGCATGACCAGACATGCTCACACTCCTGGGGACTTGGGGTAGGAGCTCTCAGTCCCATGACTTTCTGTGGCAGTGAAGTAAATGCACATCGGAGAAAGAGGCCCTGATGCTGAGCTCTCTCTCTGCTGGACGGACTTGGTCAGGCTGGGAAAGGTATTTCCTGACCCCAAGGGTGGACTTCCTGGATGGCGGTTGATTCTCACTGCACTTTGAGTTTTAGGAGGCCCAGAAAGTCTCTGGAAAGCCTCTATGGAGAAATGTCTCTAGGAGACTTGTCTCTGGGACAGACTGACTCTCATATGTCGTTAGATTCTGAAGAAAGTGGCCCTACTGCTCACATGCTGGCCACCTTACAGAGATGGTGGGCAAAATGTCACATGCTTATAGAGGTCTTCCAGTGTTAGTTCCAACGTGTATGGAACTCAAAATCTCACTCCAGGCTGAACAAGCCGCAAAGCAATGACTTTTCTTGAGTTTGGGGGAGAATTGGGAGATCACAGAACAAATTGCCACACTGGAGGCTGGAGATGCAGGCAACAGAGAGAATCAGTGAGCGGCAGAGACACCAGAGCCAGTAACAAGAGAGACACATTCATGGCTGGCTGGTAGGAGCGCAAGTCCTGGGTGGGAGGTGGTGGGCACGCACCCACGGATGAAGCCCCAAGAGTCCCAGAGGCTTCTCAAGGTGGAGACTGGAGAAAGCCCCCCACCCCTCCCCCCACCCCACCCCCGCTTCAGACAAGGTTGCAGGTGAAGAGACTCTATGGAAATATCTAGAACTCTCTCCCCAACCATGTCCTCTGGACACCCACCCGGGGCGAGGCAATTAGAGAACTCCAGCCTCTCCAGCTGACCTGTCCTACCCAGAGGGAAGCAAAGCAGGGTCAAGAAACCCTCATGAAAGCATCAGTTGTAGACTTTGGCCCTCTGTAAGCTCAGGTTTTTACAGCACTCTTTCTCCCTGGTACCTGTCCTGGTTAGTTTTATGTCCACTTGACACAAGCTGGAGTCACTGGAGTGGAGGGAACCTCAACTGAGAAAATGCATCTACAAGATCCAGCTGTAGGCAAACCATAGGGCATTTTCTTATTTAGTGATTGATGGGGAGGGCCCAGGCCATTGTGGGTGGGGCCATCCCCTGGGCTGGTGGTCCTGGGTTTTATAAGAAAGCAGGCTGAGCAAGCCATGGGAAGCAAGCCAGTAAGCAGCACCCTTCATGACCTTTGCACCAGCTCCTGCCTCCAGGTTCCTGCCCTGTTTGAGTTCCTGTTCCAACTTCCTTCAGTGATGGTCTGTGATGTGGAAGTGTGAGCCACACTTCTTCTTTCCTCCCAGGTTGGTCATGGTGTTTCATCACAGCAATAGTAACCCTAACTAAGACAGCACCTCAGCCCCAGAACTCAGCACGGGGTGGAGGATTGTCAGGCTCCATTTGAGGAGTTTTTAGAGAAACCCAAAGGCAGTGAGGAGAGAAAAATAAAACTAAAGAAATGAGAGGAAATGCGGGCTTCTGGCTCCAACAGGCACAGCACAGTCAACACAGCCGGGCTGAGGCAAGATAAATATAAAACTCCCAGAGAGGAGGACTCAGGAGAAAGCTAGAAATATTTTGAATTAAATGAAAATGAAAACAGAACTTACTGAACTGTGTGGGGCACAGTGAACGCAGTGTGTGGTTACAGGTTTACAGCATCAGATGCACGTATCAGACAAAAAGTTCTGAAATTTAAAAAAAGTTGCTGCCGGCGGCGGCGGCGGCGGCGGCGGCGGCGGCGGCGGCGGCGGCGGCGGCGGCGGCGGCGGCGGCGGCGGCACACGCCTTTAATCCCAGCACCTGGGAGGCACAGGCAGGCAGATCTCTGTGAGCTTGATTTGAGGCCAGCCTGGTCTACAGAGTGAGTTCCAGGACAGCCAGGGCTACACAGAGAAACCTTGTCTCAAACCCCACCCCCCACCAAAAAAAAAAAAAAGCTTTCAGGCTGGTGTGGTGGTGCATGCCTTTAGTCCCAGCACTCAGGAAGCAGAGGCACATGAATCTCTGTGAGTTTGGGGTTAGCCTGGTCTACAGAGCGAGTTCCAAGCCAGTCAGGGCTACATAGAGACCTTGTCTCAGAGGGAAAAAAAAGTTTTTATTTCAGGAAACGGGAAAAAGAGCAGATTCAAAATGGTAAAAGAAATGGTAAAAATCAGAAAAGAAATCAATGAAAATTAGACAGGAAATCGATAGAGAAAAATCAATAAACCAGAGAAGCTTATCCTTGGAGTAAAAACCAATGAAACTGATAAACCTCTAGCCAGCCTAACTGAGGAGAAAAAGGAGATCGTTAACTACTGATTACACATTACTAGAATCAGAAATCTGAGAGTCCTAATAATTGCATCAGAACTGTTCCTCCCGACGTGGGTGACAGTACTGGAGTAACAATGGAGTATCATGAGGACATCTTTGCCTGTGAATTTGGCCATTTAAATGAAACAGACCAGTTCCTTCAAAGATACAATTTACCAAAATTTACATAAGGAAAACCCATAATTTGATGAGCCTATTATCTATTAGAGAAATTCAATAAAAAATTCAGAGCGTCCCCCAAAGCACCAAGCCCCAGAGGGCTTACTGGTGAATTCTCCCAGTTGTTTAAAACAGAAACGATGCTAAGTCACATTAGAATCTTCTAGAACATGGGAGGAACTCAGATTGTTTAGACGTGTGCTATTCAGCATCCAAGGGGCTTCCCAGCTATCTTTGTTCTTGCTTTAGCTTAAATTGTGGTCTGAAAACTGTTTAATTCCCTGCTTTCTTAAAGTGGCATCCCTGAAGGTGGAGGCCTGTAATCCCAGCTATGGGGAGGCGTCAAGGCCACTCTGGGCAATGTGAGGAGAGTCTGTCTGAACAGAACAAATGGAAAGGAATCAGTGCAATGCAGCTCAGCAGAAGAGAGGACTCGTCTGGTACGTAGGAAGCAACCCCCAGTCTTGCAAAAATAAAAATTTTAAAAAATGTTAATGGATGTTTTACAGCTTAGCACACGCTCGGTTTTGGAGACTGTTCCATGAGGATGGAGAAGGATGTGGGTGCCAGCCTGAACTGCATGAAGCATTTTAAACATATAGCCCCGAGGACGTACTGTTCTGGGCACCTGTATCCTGACCCGTGGGGGATGCTGAGGTTACTCTTCACTGCCGTCAGGTGCACTCATGATAAACACTTTAGGTGTGGCTGGAAAACCGACTCCCCTTGCTTACCACCCACCTTGATCTCTGGCAATTCCCTTGTTCTAGAGTCTGCTTTGTCCAGAACTGACAACAATACTCCATCTCAGATTTGGTTTGTGTGAGCATGATATGTCTGTCTTCAGTCGCTTTCCTTAGCTACTGGTGTTTTTAAGGTTTAAATGGGTTTTCCATAAAATTGAGTATTGTTTGTATATTTTTATTTTTGAATTCTATTTACTTCTTTTTTATTTTTTTTTAGACAGGGTCTCACTATGTAGCTCTGGCTCTTCTGGAACTCACAGAGATCCTCTTGCCTCTGCCTCCCAAGTGCTGGGACTAAAGGCGTGTGCCATTACACCTAACTTGATTTTTTTTTTTTTTTGATCTTCTCAACAGGTTCTGCAATTTAATTGACATATTTGAGGCTTCTACATTAGAGTTATGGCTGTTATAATTGAATTAATATCTCTTATGGTTGGAAGTGCTTTCTATTTATTTCCTATGATCTTACTTCTCTTTTGAAATCTTGAAATCTGCCTCCTTTGGTTTTAAACAGAACATTTTATATGGAGATTTTCTCTCTCCTTTCAGCACACCAATTGTTCTCCTACTTTTCCTCCCCTTCCTCCCCTCTTCCTCCTCTCTTCCTCTCCTTCCTTCACCTCCTCTTCCTCCTCTTCCTCTCCTTTCTCCCCCTCCTCTTCCTCCTCTTCCTCTCCTTCCTCCCCCTCCTTCCCCTCCTCTTCCTCCTCATTCTTTTCAAAGAGACTGGACCAGAGGTGTGTGACACCACACCCTGTCTTTTTAAAATTTTTAAATTAATCACTAGCCTGGTTTACAACACATTTAGCTAATAAGTCCATTTTCAAATAACAATATGTCCCTTCCCAGAGAAGTGAAAAAAATCTAGGTGACTTTATGTTTGTCTCTGAAATTTTTGCTACAACTTCAAGAGCAAAATCTATGAAAGAGAAAAAAAAGAAAGTTGAGCTTTATTAAGATGAAAAGCTCCAGTCCTGGTAGGCATATTATTTTAAAGTTGGGGACAGATCAGCAGATGAATACTTGCCCAGTATGTACAAGACCATAGGTTCAAACTCCAACATGGGGAAGGCTAGAAAAGAAAAGAGACAATAGACTGGAAAAACATCCGAGAGCCACAAAGTGCTCTTAAAATGCAACAATAAGAAAATAGTTCAAATTTTAGCAAAGGACCAAAGATCTGAACAGATGCCTCCCCTAGGAATATATATATAAATGGCAAAGAAGCATATGGAAATATGGTCAATATTAAAAATGTATACTGAATCTCAAATTAAAACAGTGAGGTGTGTACCGCTGCATATCCACCAAGAAGGTCAAGCAAAAGAAAAACGTCCTCTGACTATTCTAAGTCCGACAATGATGCAGAGTAACAGGTGGGCACACGAAATGGCACTGCCACTTTGGAAGACAGGCAGTTTGTGTAAGACTGAAACAGTCTCATATGGATTTGTCACGATTCTCCAGAGAGAGAACCAACAGGAGGCAGGGAAGGAGGTCCTTAGACAGACAGACAGACAGACAGACAGATAGATGGGTAGCAGATAATAGATTAATCTAGACAGGTGAGGGGACTTATTAGGGATATTGGTCATGTGATGATGGGGGGGGCAAAGGTGTCCCACATCTGGCTGTCTGAAAGCTGGAGGCCCTGGGTCCAGGTAATGTGGCTCACTTTATGTTAAAGGCCTCAGAACCAGAGGGCCTGAGAACATGCGGAGTAAACTAGTGTAAGGCCAGGAGTTCAAAACCCAGGGAGGCTGGAGCTCTGATGCCTAAGAGAGTGAGAAGCGAAGGGAGAGAGTTTTCCCCTGCCTTCAAAACATTACAATTAATTAATCACGTGTGTGTGGGGGCACACATGTGTGGGCACATGCATGCCATCATGTGAATGGAGGTCAGGGGACGACTTGTAGGTAGGTTTTCTCACCACTTGGGTCCCTGGGGCTGAGCTCAGGTCATCAGGCAGCCGACACTTTATCTGCTGAGTCATCCTGCCAGCCCCCTCCCCATTTTGTTCTTTTGGGTCCTCAGAAGAAGGCAGGACCTGCTCATGGTGAGGGTGGACCTTCCCCACTGAGTCCACTGATCCACAAGCTAGTCTCCTCTGAAAACACCTCACAGACGCATCTATAATCAATGCTTTACCAGCTCCCGCAGCATTCCTTAGACCAGTCAGGCTGACACCTAGAATTAATCATCACAACCATATGGTCCAACAGCTACATTGATGGGTATTTGTCTATCCGTGTAAAAACTTACGTCCACACGAAACCTGCACATGAATATTTATAGTTAATTCATTCCTCATTCCCAAACTGTGAAGCAATCAAGATACCCTTTTAAAAAGTAAATATGGTCACAAATTGTGATTATGCCCATTTAATGGATGGTTATTCAGAGATTTAAAAAAATGAACTATCAAGGAATAGAAAGGCATAGAGGATCCTACAGGCATACTGGTGGGTGGAAGAGTCTGTCTGAAAGGCTACGCATACTGTGATCTCAACAGCAATAGCACTGGGAAAAAGGCAGAACTACAGAGTCAAGGGCTCACAGCAGTTGTCAGGGGGCCGGGAGTGTGTGTGTGTGTGTGTGTGTGTGTGTGTGTGTGTGTGTGTGTGTGTGTGTGTGTGTGTAGGGTGAATAGGGCACAGAGAGGCTTGGGGCAGCAAAGCTTCCCTGTAATTTAAACTCATTTCTTTGGGGCTGGAGAGATGGCTCAGAAGTTAAGAGCACTGGCTGCTCTTCCAGAGGATCTGGGTTCCATTCCTAGCACCCACATGGCAGCTCACCACCATCCATAACTCCAGTTCCAGGGCATCTGATAGTCTCTTCTGGCCTCCATGGGGACCAGGCTCACAAGTGGTGCATAGACATACATGTAGACAAAATACCATACACATAAAACTTAAAAAATAAGAATTAAGAATGTAACAATAAAAATAATTTAAAAAAACCTCCTAGAATGTGCAATACAAAGAGTAACGCATGGACTTTACTGTAGACTAGTACTTGCTCACTGGTGGTTGTGTCTGGGGTGACTGTATGAGGAAGGGGGAGTCTGTGCTTCTGCTCTGTGCTTGTAGAGCCTCTGGCTCACATTTGTGCTGATCACCTGTGATCAGGTTAGGATGTAGTCTGCGGCAGAAGCTGTGGTTAGGAGACCTAGGGCTCTAAGAGCTGCCGAGATTAGCTGGTGTCTGTGGAGGTGGCACCTCAGTTGTCTGGTCCTTCTCCAACTCTGAGCAGAAAGAGAAATCCCGGCCCACAGCACCATTGGACACCCCGGTGTGCGTTTTCGTCACAGTTCTTTCACCAGTGCCCACATCCCACGGGCTCCTCTGGGGCTGACGAGTGACAGACAAGAGTGCGTGGAAAGGACCCTCACAGTTGCAGCGCTTCCTGTCTTCATCGTCACCACTACACTATGCCACGACCAGAGACCAGACTGTCACACCAGACTTTGCTCTCTCAGCTCCTGCACTGGCATCATGTGAGGACAGGGCCTGGAATGGTGCTCATGTCTCTCAGAGTCTGGGAACTGAACTCAGTCTGCTTCCTTGTAGTCCTCGGTGGCCTGCGTGAGTGGTCTCCGTCCTCAGTGGCCTACGTGAGTAGTGTCTGTCCTCCATGGCCCCTCATGAGTGGCCTCTATCCTCAAGGGCCCCTGTGAGTGGTCTCTTTACTCTCAACCTCTTGGAACTTTAGTTTCCTCCTCTGAAATAGGACTATGAATAAGATGGAGCCGTCTGGGGATGGGAGCTCCTGGCCAACAGCTAGGAATCCATCTTGTCATCTACAAAGCACACCCACATCAGGGGTGATGCTGGTTGGCTGAGAAAAGGAAAAAGGAGCCACATTGGAGCTAGGGGTATGCTTCCTTATAAATCTTGATACCACGAACCCAAGGTGGATGTTAAAGACCCTGTCTCAGAGGCTGCTGAGGCTCCCAGAGGAGAGGAGACTCTTCTCAGAGCTCCCGTATGCTTCCTTATAAATCTTGATACCACGAACCCAAGGTGGATGTTAAAGACCCTGTCTCAGAGGCTGCTGAGGCTCCCAGAGGAGAGGAGACTCTTCTCAGAGCTCCCGACAGTCCCTTGCCACCTGCTCCATGACACTGAACACTGCTGCTGTGGCAGTTCCCACAAGATATGGGAACCATAAATCAGTGAGTGCAAGGCACAGGGAGGTGTCGGGAAGCAGCCGGCTTCCTCCTCCTGCCTGGTTCTGGTGTGCAGATGCAATGTTCTCTTTTGCCTAGGTGACTGAGGATTAGGAAGGTCAGAGAGTCGGTAACAGCATTCATCACAGAGTGGCACCCTGAGGTGAGGTGAGGGCACATCACAGTGTAGTCTGTGTCCTGCAGGCCTTGAAGACCCACATCTGGGTGGAGGGAAGACAAGGCTGGCATTCTCCTGGCCCACTTACTTTTATTAAAAATAATTTGGCTATTTTGTAAGTGTATAGGACTTCCATCCAGAGAGACCCATCTGACTTTGAGATGACTTCAAAACTGAAGGAAGTGGACGGGGAGGCGCTGCGTGATCCCGGCCTAGGGGTAGGGCAGCCGTGTATATGCATAAGGGAGGTCTTGCTAAGCATTCCAAGTAAAAATACTTTTAAATATTTCAGTACATCATCAACTAAATACGTTTCAGTAGGAGCATGTTCCAGCTGAAGAAAGTACAGGCGTCACATGATTTGCATAAGTCGACTGAGGAAATTTGGTGAGAGACGGCAGGGAGCTGCAGACGCCCACAAGATGAGCTGGCTGGCGGGGTCTGGTCCCCCAGTGCCTGTGTGTGGAGCGTCAGCCATGCACCAGGCACAACATTAGGCTTCTGCAGGACAGGAGAACCCCAGCAGTGACTGGCTGGTTTAACCTGACAGCAGGTACCGCACTATATAGCACGGGCTGTGAGTGGAACAGAGGAGATGGGTCCCAGCCCAACCTGGGACTGCGAAGAATTCTCTTAGGAGGAAGGCCCTGGCTTTGGCCATGAGGAGAGGGGATCTGTGGGACAGGCAAGGCCCCTAGTGAAGAACTCTGAGGTGGCTGGCACTCTGCCTAGAGTGAAAGAGTACTTCCCCTCCCCAGAAACAGAATGGTGATCCTGCCATGAGGAGTTGGTGGTAGTTCGGAGTTGAAAGATGATTCAGAATGAGCTGGTGCACGCTGTGTCCTAAGGCGGGGAGCCAGGCAGGTTCATGACTTCCTTGTCTGGGCTGAATGTAGTGAGAGGCCTGGACTGTTGGGCGCTGAGAAAGCCCACCCTTGTGACCAGACTGGAGGAAATCTTTCTTTCTATCCACTCCCCAAGACCCACAGAGACCTGAAAAGGGAAAGGGTCCTGGTAGGCAGGCTGAATCACAATGGCAGTAGTTAGCTTTCTGAGCATAGATAGCAGCAGACACCGGCAGACACCATTGGCAGCCTCACTCCCCACCACTTTTGGAGGCAGACACCAGGATCACGCTCACTTTGCAGATGATGGGCAGGGCGCCTTGAGGGAAGTCAGGCAGCTTGCTCAGGACCATCCAGCTGGGAAGTTATCAAGCACAGGGTGGACCCCCCATTTGAGTCTAGAGTCCAGTGTCACTCAAGTGCTGCAGAGATGGCTCACGGATTAAGAGCCCTGGCTGCTCTTGCAGAGGACCTGGGTTCTGTTCCCAGCACCCACATGGCAGCTCACAATCATCTATAACTCTTTCCAGTTTCAAGGGATCTAACTCCCTCTTCTGACCTCTGCAAAGACCAGGTACACACATGGTAAACATACACATACTCAGACAAAACATTGATACACATAAAATAAATAAATCTTAAAAAGGAAAAAGAAAGCTACTCACAGCCAGGACTGCCTGAGAAGGGGACAGGTAGCTCAGGGACTCAGAAGGGAGATGAAGTCTTTGTTTGGTGGAAGGGTCCCTAGCATAATCAGATAGTAAACTATGCATGCTTAGCTTTCCCTCTCTGAGTCCTGAGAAGGACCTTTAAATCCCCCTTTGCTTGTTTATTTTTTTTTTATGTTTTGTTGAGACTGGTCTCCCTGGGTAGCACAGACC